TCTACTAAAAATACAAAAAACTAGCTGGGCGTGGTGTTGTGCGCCTGTAGTCCCAGCTACTTGGGAGGCTGAGGCAGGAGATTCACTTGAACCTGGGAGGTAGAGGTTGCAGTGAGCCGAGATCACGCCCCTGCACTCCAGCCTGGGCGACAGAGCGAGACTCCGTCTCAAAAAAAAAGAAAGAAGAAGAAGAAAAGAAAACACACATTATCACTGCTTCCAAGTGTTTCTGAATCCAAATGAAAAGTGGTTGCCGTAATCATTCAGAACGATACCGTCACACTGAGAAATACGTTAGAAAAAAAGTTATTAGCAAGAGAGCTTTCTGCAGTGGCTTCTTCCGTCAGTTGCTAAGGGTAAGGTAAAGACGTGGGCGTCGTTTCTAGATCGCTTCTTCTGGAAGGTGCTACACTGCCGACATAATAATCAATCCAACTTCCCTAATGGAAGCTGGAGAAAGGGCCATTCCAGCGTGTTTTACCCTGTTTGTTCCTGTTTAATGAAAGACTCATCTGAATAGAGATGCCACTTTGTATTAATCTGTTCACCCCGACACTCAGCATCAGTTTAATAATAATAATAATAAGCAGCTAATAACGGGAGCTATCGTCTTTTGGGTAAGAACATTTTAATTTTGGTATCATGAGGATCAAACTTGGAAAACTCCTCCTTTCCCAAGAGCTCTGGGAATTGGGAAAACTGCAGAATGGACCTTTCCTTGATCCTAACACGTCATGTTCCCGTTAACAGACAAGCTTTGCCTTTCACATGAGGAGACCAATGATGATTCCTCTGACATCGTTACAGAAACAGAGTGGCTGGAGCTACCAAGTTCTGGTCATTCCTGTAAATGATGACAGGGTGAAGACGGAGGCCTGGTTGGTTGGTTTTCAGGTTTCCTTTGGAGCTAACGTTGTCTGATTAAGAGGGTTTCCCCTCTGATGGTGCAAAACGACGCTGAAAATGTCTATTCACACGAAACCCACACACAGGTATTTATAGCAGCTCCAGTTAAATAGAAACTGCAAACGCCCGAAGCTCCTCAACAGCGAATGGGTCCACACGCTGGCAGAG